GATGGTGTTGCCTACAAAGAAGAACAAAAGAGCCAGTTCTGCCTACAAAGTAGAATTATCTCCTAGATACGGATCTGCTGGCATGGCGACTCTGCCCCATGGGACAGCCATTCCTGGACAGAGGATGTTTGGTTCTCGAGCTATGTACTGTAGTAAACAAGTTGGCGGGCTGCGTTTGGAGGAGAACCTGACCACTTGACAAGGCTTTAAATTGAAGACGCCACTAATAACGCAGCATTTGCAAACTACTAAACCCACTTTATCACGGTGTTACGTTTGGCACCCCTGCGACTGCATTGGAGGTTGACCTCTCAAGCTCGACGAGCGCCGCACCATCTACGAAACCCTTCTTGAAGTTAATCAAACGGTACACTACCTGATGGAGCATAGAGTAGTGCTGCAAACAATTGGTTGTCATCCACGATTGGTAGCAGGTGTGTGGACACGCGGACAACTGATTAATTGAGTAATGTCAGCTTATCTACAATTGTTGACTCAAAACTTCATGATAAACAACCTCTGTCCCCCAACAATTGCAGGCGAACATTCGACAATATAGGAATTACAACTACAACGAATCTGTGCTTAATGGTTTTTACTTCAGTGGTACAGTCTGTACACATCTATTCATCAGTATTGACGACCAAACTCGTCAGCCACCGGGCTCTCCAAGCATCTGCTGTGAAAGTATATCCACAGGAAATGCTTGGAGAGCCCGGTGGCTGACGACAGAGCACGGTACGTCTGGCGTAGATGCAGGGGCACTGCTTTGATACGTTTCTCAATATCTCCGAGAGAGTACTGTATTGTCGACGCCGACCGCTGCTGCCTTCCAGCCTTGCTTTGACGTCAGGAGGTCCGCCTTCAGGAGGCCTTTGATTGCCGCGTTGAAAGATACGCCACCCAGTGGCTTGGTTTACATGAAAGTTGGCACACACATCGTTCATTATCGCACGGGAAACTTTGCCGTCGGTGCTTCTCTTCAGCAGCTCGAGGTACAGGTATTTTCGTTGGTCGTCGGTCAAATTTGACTTGCGCTTTGTATTGGAATCTTCCATCGTTCCTTCCGTCTCCAAACGTAAAATATAATTAAAAAAACACACCTGTATTCGTTATCCTTTGATCTACCCCGGCCAATCGGAGAAGAGGAAATCGAAATATGATACTGCCCGCAATTATTGGGAGACAGAGGTAGTACTCTACAGGTAGCGAACCATTGATCGGTGACTTCACCATTGATCGGTCACTTTTTGACGGCCAATGAATGTTGAAAGGCAATATTACTGGACAAAAATACAACCTCCATGAAATTGAGCCTCCATATCTAGATGGTGGGAAAGTAGATAAATTATCCCAAACCAAGATTTTCCAAAGTTTGAACTCATTCATGGCGCCGAAAACAGCCTACTCGGCTGATGCCATGGCTAGCGCAGTAAGCGATGTAATCAGCAAAACCGACACCATGGTGAACATTGCCAAAGCTACTATATACCATACCGAACCTTGCGAACCCATGTGACTCAAGCTCAACAATGCAACATCCCATCTGAACCACCTCGCAGTGGCAGAAGCCCGCACATCCCAAAGTCGTTCGAACAGGATCTGGTTGCATGGGTCATTGCAATGGATTGTGACGGTCATTTGGTTGGAAGAGGACCAAAAATGGCCAAGGAATTCAGAGTAAATTGAAAAGTGACTGATTAAGCCGAGGTTAAGCTAGACTTCGAGGCTTTCTAGAAATTCTGCATTAGGCAGCGCTAGGGCGATGTGACTTCAATTAGCTTTCCCTTGCGCAAGGCTCATG